AATTGCAATTTGCAGGATTAAAAAAAAAGATTATAAAATTATGTTTACCAGTATTTTATCTGAGCTTACAAATGATTTATACACGTGCTGAAAAATTTAGTGAAACTGGTCGACGTAAAAATAAGCTACAGGCTTCGAAGATGCAGAAATCTTCAGGTTTTTTTTTTACAGTCATTGGCCTATCTTTAACGAATGCTCGATTAATTTTTCAGCGTTATAGGCTCAGATAAAAAAGTTTATAAAGACATCATTTATAACCGTTCGAGTCCCAAGCAGCGCGATCGCGCTGTTCAGATCTTGCGTCGCGATCAAACTTTAGTGACGCGCGTACATCGCATAGCTGCTTTCCTCCATTTTTTTTCTTTTTGTTTTGTTTGTCAATCTTGACGAGCGCTATCGCGCCGCTTGGTTCTCTTCGCAATCAATTAAGACAAGCGCTGTCACGCTGTTCGGCAATTTTCGACCGTGTTTTCTGAATAACCCCTGGGACTCGAACGGTTACTAAAACAGATCGTCGTTCAATAATCGTAGACGTTCATTAGAACGAGAGTCGGTCGCCGTAGCTCGCGGATCCGTGCAGCATAATTGCCGGGCAATAGTTCTCTGACACCCTGTATGCGATGCGTTGTTCCGCGGCTCGGCACGGCGCGGGTGCGCATATTCGTGGCACGGGCAGCGGGAAAGGTTTACACGAGCGAACTGCCGCCAGGCAGACGTCGTCTGGGAAAGGCCCAGGCTAATTTTGCTGGCCACGGCAACCGGCGACCTGAGGCCAGCGTTCGAATGCGTTTCCGAGAGGTGCACAGCCGGCCGGGTATTCGTGCCTTGTAGCCGGCGAGTCCGGAGCTCTTCGGGTAAATGTTTACCTCTCGACCGCTACCAGCCGATCTATATTATTATCGGACCTGGCTGGTCGCATCTCGCACTCCGCTCGGACACTGTGTCCGACCAGCGCAGCTTGTGCTCTTTATCTGCTGCAACCGAGCGCCGCTCCCTTTTGCGCCGACTGATTGATTACTTTTTTATTTGCCCGGTAATTTATTATCCCCTGGCGAAAATTCGCCAGGGCTCGTTCGGGACTCTCCTCGATCTTATTTCTGTCCGCTGCGTACTCGAAGAATCTGTGATAGAAATACGGACAATATTTCATCGGAGAATCCTGTCCTTGCGATAGGTACGAATCGGAAAGATTCCTGTTCGCTTTATACATTTTTGCGCATATTTTGCTTTCTTGGATCTGTTTCTTTATGTGGAAGATTTGAGGTACTGTGATGTCTCTCTAATTGACGCTCAGATTGTACACAAGGATGGACAATTTGGGAAGAGGAGATACGATTGTTCGAGCCTTGTTGCTCGTTTTTTATGGTTATCGATTGTCAACAACTATTAAGACGAGTAGCAAGGTTCGAATAATCGTAACTCCTCTTCCCAAATTATTCATTTTTTTGCACAATCTGGACGTCAATTAGGGAGACATTACTGTACATCGTTGGTCAAAGTGGCGCAATGGATCCTAATAGTTTCTCTCGTAAAACAAACAATGATGTGTTTTGTGCCTGTAGCTAACATTAAGAGATAGATTACGCGCAAAGAATCATTGAGTTTATCTTAAACAATCGATAGATCTCTAGTTATTAATCCTTGAATTTGAGAAGCCTGATACAGTAACGTCTCCCTAATTGTCGCTGAAATTGGGCAAAAAAAATGAATAATTTTGGAATATTATAATTGTTGACAATCGGCAACTATAAAAATTGACTGCAAGGCTCGAATAATCGTATCTCCTCTTTCCAAATTGTCTATTTTTGTGCACAATCTGAGCGTCAATTAGGGAGACTTTACTGTATCTAGACAAGGCTGGTAATATGTTCGGTATAAGATGTGCTCTATTCGCATGATCATTTCGGAGTATTTGTCCACCCTCGTACGTTTCACATGATTAAAAATTGCAGGATACTCTTCAAAAGAAGTACCTTCGCGAACAATAACAACAACAACGTCTTTTAGAATGTTTGTAAATTGAGAGTATTGCTTGGATTAGAAAATGAGGACACGTTGGAAATGTTTATAGAAGCATACGTAAACGTTCATAACGGAGAACAAGCCAGTAAAAGTACTCGAGTTCAAGAAACAGGCGAATGAGCGGTGAATCGAGGCGATTCAGAGAGGGCCAACGCGTTCCGGCCGGATAACGCGGAACACCCGTGCGTAACACGTGTAAACGATCCCCGCGAAAAATCAGCGACCGAGTAAACGACGCCGAGGAGCCGGGAAAAACGCGTGGTCGGCGTGGCTACCGTGTAGGGCTATTAAATTCTCTGTATTTTGTAAACGGGGACCCAGGGTCCCGCACGAAGCTCGCGTGCGACGCCGGCCTTTCGACGATAACGTTAATGGACTTCATTTACATTGCATAATTACAGCGGGCCGGCTGCCCGCGTCCGGATTATGTGCGAGAGGAGCAACGACCAGCGGCCGTCCGCAGCGACGAAGGGACAGAATCTCCTCGAAATTCTGGCGACCGTGTATGCACCGGATCGGTTTTCGTTCTCTGCGACGGCGACGACAACGCGACATAATGGGACCCCGCGAGTCTAAGAAAGCCTCGTTGTATCGCGTGCATCCGATGCAACGCCGCGCCGCGCCGAGCCGCGGTGAATCGTTCCGCCGCGTCGGTGCATTGGATTAATCGATTTCGGATGGTCTCGAATGATACGATTGTTGTTTGTTGTTGCAGCTTACGTGGATACTGGCTGAGATCCCTGCGGCTTTCGCGATGGGGGATTTTGTAATTTACACTGTTCGCGGTTTATCGGTCCTGCACCGTACACCAATTGGTTGCTCGCTTTGACACAGTTCTGCTTCGCTTTATCGCCAAGTATATTGCAATAACGATGGCTCGATTAATCTACCGCGACTCGCCAAACTGTTCCGACAGTTCGTTTTACGTTTAGCACGTGAAATATGCGCGCCAAGCAATATCGGGGGACGGTCTCGAAGACCGTGTTAGCGAAATTCGAAATCGAGCCACGGGCATTGACAATTTTCTCTTCGTTGGATACGTGCTAACGCTCTTTTAAACAATTTCGCATAGACGTTCTAAATCTGCGCTTACGAGTTTAAGCACTTTCGCGAGAAACTGTACAAACTGGGAGTTGCTTTCCAAGTTTCGCGCATGTTCTTGACCCAAGGCGAGACTGAAAAATTGCTCATTCATTTCTCTACAGAAAAGCGTAGAGAAGACGCTGGGAAAAATGGTTAAAAAGTAACCGAATGAATATTAAGTACCATTTGATACTTGATCCAGTCCATTCAGAGGTGAGCATAAGTGTAAACAAGTATATGTTTCTCCGTATTGCTGTGCGAAAAATACAGTTTTCTGAGACACTTCGGGAAAACTGAAACGAACCAACGTAATCGGAGAGGCGAAAGTTGAAGAAGCGCCATCGCGCTCCATCGCTCTACATACGCAGCCATGTGGGTACAACGAGTACAAGGGGGTTAATAGTATCATTGCAGTCCATAAGTAAATAACGAACGTCATCTCGCTCGCCATTCATTTAAACAGGTCATCGAGAAGCCCGATCATTCGCCGCTCGGCTCTCGTACGGTCAAACGAGCAACGGTGTCGCGTCAGACTTCGCGGCTCCCCAACAAGCGTAAACTATTATATCGGGGCAGGGAACGGTACTAGATCCTTTATCCGCAGCCACTTGTTAGACGGCCAATTTTTCACGATAGCGCGGGAAACACCGTCCGGTCCGGTCCCGGTGCCAAGAGTTCGCTAGGCCGAGATGCGAGATAGCGTGCGTCCAGTGTCACTTTGCACGCCGTTGCATACGAATGCAAATCGTCGGCGTCCATTATGCACCGGGTCGATCGCGCGTCCCGCGATGCACTCTCGCTGGGACCACGTGCTTAAATATCGGCCTAATGAGCACCGCGATCGTTTCCGACGCGATCACGATATTTCTCGTTCGCTCGAAGAACCGCGAGCCCGCGTTGTTTACAGAGGAATACGAAATTTCTTCAGCTTTATTATTCGTGTCGATCGAACGTTTGAAAGGCGACGTAGATGCAAATAAAATTAAATCGATGGTAGGTACTGTTTTTAAAATTTCAACGAGAACTCGGCAAAGTACCGCACATGGTATAATGAAGCAAAATAAATGACCGTCTATCGCACGTTAACACTCCAGTCATCTTCTCGGGTCTGTTTGGAACGAAATTCCCTGATGGAGAACAGCGGGAATCATAATTTCCGAAGAACAAATATTCAATGTAGAAAAGGGTGGCGCGTCTTGGATTACATCGAACATCGATGCTAGCACTCGCAATCGTTAGCACACATCTTGAGGCAGCTAGACGCGTTGCAACAGACTCGGTGCAACCTAATTATCCATCGATATCTACATCTAATACTTCGCCCATGAGAGACGCGTCTCGCAGATATGCCTGGCAATGTTTGGTACGATTATTACTAGATCACGGATCTTTGATAAAAATAAAAATCATCTTAATTGTGAAATGCATGAAATGCATGATTCTTGAATGCATGAGATTCGCAGTCTAATAGTTACAGTCTCGCTGCTCGAAAACGGAATTTCTGAAGACGATCGAAGCTCCTTTCTACGTCGAACCACAACGAACCACAAACCAGATTCAATAGACTTCTCACATATTCGCGCAATACTCGCGTTCGTCTTTTTAATTATCAAATTCGAGAAAACTGGCCTCAACACCTGGTCGCGACGAGCCACCAATTATAACTTGCCGGTGTCGCGTTGTTCTAATGAAGACACCGCGCGACGAATCTGCGCGTAAACAAGGGTTCGTCGGTGTTCCCAGGTACGAAACGAAATTCCCAATTAACGGGTGCCGAAACCGGCCGGCACGGGTTGCGGCCGAGCGAGGAGGGGTCCTCCGGCGATCGAGCTTGCTCGTTCCAGCGGATCGGACAAAGAGAACGGTGGAAAGACACCCTTTCTCGCGAGACTCACGTAGCTCCTGTAGGACGCCATGATGCAACGAGAGAAGACTCCCCTCCCTGGGCGAGAGCGAAAGCGAAAGGATCCTGGGAGCGGATCTCTTCCTCCGGCCGGGCTCACCAACCACTATCAACCACCGTCACCACCACCATCGACGACACTAAGGGATCACCATCGGCATCGGCACCGGCACCACCACCAACACTATAACACCAGCACCTGGACTACGGCGCCCGCACCGATCGCGGCACCGTTCGAATCGGCTGAACGAGAGGAACCGGGGAGAAGAAGCACCGAGGAAGCAGCAGAAGAGGAAGCGGAGGAGAAAGAGTCTCGAGGTCAAACCTGGTGAACCGATCGAAGAACGAACGGTTCGACGAAGCGTCGTCCCCGGCGGCACGGTCTCATAAGAGAAGAAGGAAGAGAGCGCTACGGAGGCGCTTCGTTTCGGACGAAGCTCGGACCCTGAAGAGCCGGCGACCCGCGAGGCACGCCGTCGTTCCCTCTCCGTCTCCGTCTTCTCACGCGCCGCGTCTCTTTTCTTCTCCGCTGCTCTTCGCTTCTCTTCGCTTCCCGTCTCATCCCGTCTCGTCCCGTCTCGTCCCGTCTCGTCCCGTCTTGTCTCTTCTCTTGCCTCGTAGCTTCCGATCTCTTCCCTTCGCTCCCGCAGCGTGCCCAGCTTCCCGTCCTCGTCTCGCCGTCGCGTACGAGTCGCCCGCCATCTCCTCGCATATCGGCTTCTCTCGTTCATTCGCTTCGTTCAGTCGAGCCCTATTTTAAGAATAGCTTTACGTCCGCCGAGAACCGCCGCACACGCCGCGCACGCCGCGCCGGCACCTCGCCGCTTCCGTGCCTGCCCAGCACCGCGAACAACCGAATAACCGGCCTCCGAAGGGAAGCTGATCCGCGGGGAACTGACCGCGTCATGCTATCACCGCAGATTAACTCGCTCGCTGCCGCCGTTGCAACACGATCCGCGAAACTTGTCGCGTAGTCGAGGTGACCCGGGAAACGGAAAGGACCGAAAGTTGTCGCCGAGATTGCGACTGCAGCCTTTCTGGGGAGCCTCGCTTGTCCTAATCGAATTGGGCTCGTTCGTTGGTAGCTTAGTTGGCTCTCCTTCGCGAAAAGAGAGTTCTCTCTACGAAACTTTTTCCTCTGGAGGCTCGCGAATGTTACCTTGGCGCACTCTTCGGCGAGGGAAACGTGGCGCACTTCCAACGCGGAGAGTGCTTGTTGTCTACATATGCCTGTCTCTTGGACTCGCAGACTGTTTATGCGAGGGGTAAGTTAGGGGTGCAGGCTCAACGACGTCGCGCGAAGTGGCCTGCGTTTCGGTCTCTGCCCATGGCGGCTGGATGACGTCGTATACCGCGACGCACAGATAAGCGCCGCCGGGGACAGCACTTTATCGCGGTAGTTCTCTGACGCGTTTGAAACAAGAAGCTTCCGATACTTTTTCGAAATCTTTTTACTCGCGTTACGCGATCCAACAACGCGCCAGTTTGTTAACAACTCGATCCGAGATCGTTCACCTGCAAGGTAAAAATATTTTTCTTATGTTATCTGCATTCTGCGGGCCGCGTATTCTCGTGTGTATTTAAGCGCAGTCGATAAGAATCACGGGACAATCCTTTTCAAATGCACAGTTCTACCGTGTACTTTATCTTAACACAACTTCGAATACAGTTCCGCGGTGGAAGACTCCGATTCCCATCGATGGCTTGTTCGTAGACGCCGGGAATGTCGTGCGTTGGAAGAACGTTCCGAAGCGAGGACTTATTCCTCGAAGAAATGCCCTGCAAAGAGGGTGGTAGACTTTGAGAGCACAGCACCGAAGAATTATTACGTGGAAGAATATGTTCGAGGAAATCGTTCCTTGCGAGCCCTTTGAGACCGATCGCTCGTGCCCGGAGAGGATTTCGACGACGAAGAATTGTTCTGTAGAATATCGAGGGAGCTGGGAACCGATTACGCGTATAATACGTTGCGAGCAGCACCTTTGCCACGAAGACGTAAGTTTTCAGAAGAACCGTCGATCGGTGAAGCAATAGTTCCTTAAATCGTTTCATTTAACGCTGAACACTTCTTTCTTAAACATCTGGAGAATTTCCAATCAAATTTCGATTACAGCATGCGTCTCAACAACGTATTTCAAACCTAAAGAACCACGGAACTATTGAACAATCAAATAACAATTACGTTGAATCGTTGTATTTAACGGCAAACAATACAGATTCTTTTAAAGTATTTGGAGAATTTTCGAGTGCATTGTGCAATAAAATAATAACTAGCCTATGGATTTTATGGGGATTTATAGCTGTGATAATCATATTAAAAGAAGAAATACGTTTTTATCTAATTTCTGTTTGATATAACAGACGATGAAGATTTTTATTTTGCATAAAAATCGGCATAACAACTCCCTCGAATCGTTCCATTTGAAACCTTGTATTTAACGGCAAACAATACAGATTCTTTTAAAGTATTTGGAGAATTTTCGAGTGCATTGTGCAATAAAATAATAACTAGCCTATGGATTTTATGGGGATTTATAGCTGTGATAATCATATTAAAAGAAGAAATACGTTTTTATCTAATTTCTGTTTGATATAACAGACGATGAAGATTTTTATTTTGCATAAAAATCGGCATAACAACTCCCTCGAATCGTTCCATTTGAAACCTTGTATTTAACGGCAAACAATACAGATTCTTTTAAAGTATTTGGAGAATTTTCGAGTACATTGTGTGCAATAATATAATAACTAGCCTACGGATTTTATGGATTTATAGCTATGATAACATCATTAAAAGAAGAAATACATCTATATCTAATTTCTGTTTGATATAACAGACGATGAAGATTTTTATTTTGCATAAAAATCGGCATAACAACTCCCTCGAATCGTTCCATTTGAAACCTTGTATTTAACGGCAAACAATACAGATTCTTTTAAAGTATTTGGAGAATTTTCGAGTACATTGTGTGCAATAATATAATAACTAGCCTACGGATTTTATGGATTTATAGCTATGATAACATCATTAAAAGAAGAAATACATCTATATCTAATTTCTGTTTGATATAGCAGACGATGAAGATTTATATTTTGCATAAAAATCGGCATAACAACTCCCTCGAATCGTTCCATTCAGCGCTGCAAATTTCCAAAACTCCAGACGGCCTTCGAAGAATTCTGTTTTCTACCTGGGCTCGGCAGCCTCGAATTTCTCCCGGAACCGAATAGCAAAGATTTCGAGCACGGGATCGGCAGAATCGTACTGGAAAGCGTTCCCCGAAAGTTTTCCCGCGCGTTCGATAATGAAAACGACGTTAGCCGTCGCGCACGGACGACGACGACGACGACGACGACAGCGTATCCGTGGAACCGTGTAATATTCGGCCGGTAAGCGTCGGATACGGTGGTCCCAGAATTCTCCGGAGAATTCCGCGTAGGAATTCGGCGGGTAGGGGGTGGGCGGGAACAAACTACTGGCAAAACTACCGTCTTTGTCCAGGAAATGAGGCCAGTGTTGCCACGGTACCGTTTCTGGCGACTGGATTCTCTGGACGGTCTCTTTGTGCGATCCCGCAGAACTCCTCGAAAACGGAAACTCCTCCCGTGCAGCATCGGCTGGTGGGAGGACGAGGACGCGGGGGAGGTGGAGGAGGAAGTGGCGAAGGTTGAGAAGGTGGAGGAGAACGAGGACGACGAGGACGAGGGAGGAGGAGAAGATCGCCTCAAATAGGGAGAGTCGGTCGTGGTACACTCGGTTAGGCGGATAAAGAGAGTCTGCCCGTGGAAAAGGACGAAATAAAGACGGCGAAATCGCCATTGTTACGGAGAACAACCCCCTCCCCTTCTCTGTCTCTCCCTCCCTTTCCGTTTTCTCTCTTCCTCTCCGTCTCTCTCTCTCTCTCTCTCTCTCTCTCTCTCTCTCTCCCGGAAGTCGCCGGGACCGAGCGAATTAAAGCGACGCGGATTGTTTCAATTCGAAGCGGCGCGCGGCGCGGCGGCGGACGGTTTCGTTCCGTTCGATGAGAACCGGCGGACCCCGGCTTGGCTTACGAACGGTAAGCTAATTACGAAGAGTTCGAGTGTTTCTCGACGTGAAATCGAATCGCTCGGTCGGAGGAACGGTTGCGCCAGGGGGCGGAATAGAGGAACGGTTCCGTGAACTCGAGGCATCATTAGCCGACGCATAATGCAGGCAGATTAAACGGCCTATAAGAAACGGTTGTTAATCCGCCGCTGGTAAACGAGCAGAGAAAGATGTCTAACGTCTTAAGAAAGTCTCCAGACTGTTGAATTATTCCTTTGGTTATGAACGCTCGCGTTGTTCGCGGATCGGGACCGGGAACGATCCGGGTTAATCGAATCTGTTTTCCGTCGAGGCGAGGTCTGCTGTTGAAGTACCTTCTGTCGAGATCTTCGCTGGAACTAGATGTTACGTATTTTATTTGTACACTCTGCTCACTGGCTGCTGGATCGCTGATTTTCTTGCGATCTCGGATTTCAGTTACCGGAGCCTGGATAGTTGCGAAGTAGAATGAGACGCTCGTGATCGGACAGGCGATGATGGGAGACTCGTTTCTTTTAGATGGATGTATGTAGCTTTTATTTATGGAAATCAAATATAATGTTCTAGTAATAGCGAAAAGATGCACTTAGAAATCAATCTGGCGCGCGTGCACCTATCTAGCGTTGTAGATTTAATATTAATTGTACTTATGACATTGTGTGTTTTCGTTCGAACATGTGGCACAAGTTTTTCGACAGCGTAAGCAAAGGCTGACAGCTTGCCTCTTCTGACAACGACAGCAGCTATTTTCGAAGAACATTTTGTGAATATTTAGAGCGTTTATCAGGAAAGTTCAAAGCACTGTCAGGATAAAATTAAATGCGGCGATAATAGAATGTAGTCTTTTCAGTCGCGAACGACAAAAATGCTATTATTCAAATTCTACACACGCATCGATTGTTAGAAAATACTCTTTAACAATTGGTCTAATAATTTAAGATAATTTGAAATGCATAGTTAAATCAATACAAACATTCTTTCGGCATACTTTGAAGAGTCTCACTCGTGATAGAGATTTTTAGTAACAACCAATTTAATACGAATGTTATTTCGTTCTTTTAAGTCGGAATGAAATTGTGCCAATATGTTACCAATATTTAAACGTTCGAGTAAATGCGTGCACAGAATGAATATCCAGTTAGCTGTGTGTTGACGAGTATACTCGTCATGGAGAAATGGCAATATTTTGTGACACGACGAGTATACTCGTCGTGCGTAAGAAGTAGTGACCATTGGCTATTTGACACTAAACCTACCAAGCAGTAATACTAACTGGCATGTACTGCTTCACAAAAGTGAGAAGACCGAATTTATTTAGAATTTGTAAGGTTTTTATTATAATACTTACTCCAATAAAATAACTCATTCAAGTG